ACACACTTCTAAACTTCCTTAAAAAGTTAGTTTGGTGTTGAAAAGTCCTTAGAAAATGTTCCATACATCTGTTACTGAGTAAATTCTAACTCCCACAATAATCCAAGTCTGAGATTAGACTAGAATAACCGCCTTGCAGCTGTGTGCCTCCGCCAACCAGTCAAGTTGCAGAGTACATACATGTCTGTCCAGACTCATATGTAGCCATGACAGTTAACAATGCTTCAAATACAGATGTTGCTACAAAGAAGCTACAAATTCTAAAATGTGGAAGCTTCACACTCATCTTCAACCCTGCAGCACAGAAGCTCTATACATAATGTCAAAGTGGACATCCGAGAAAAGAGTCACCAATTCAGTATCTGACCAACTGTCTACCCTTCTGTTCCTGAGGTATGACATTGAGTCATGGAAAGAAAAGTGTCCCTGCAGACCATTATGATGTCATAGCAAAGCTGACCTTTGACCTTTTGGATGTAAAATGTCATCACTTCATCATTTTATCCTGTTAGATATTTATGTGAAATTTTGTCATAATTAAAATATGAATTATTGACTTACGGCCCAAAACATGTATTGTGAGGTCACAGTGACCTTTGATCATTAAAATCTAATCAGTTCATTCTTGAGTCATAGTGATGTTTGTGCTTAATTTGAAGAAATTCCCTCAAGGTGTTGAGGTAACACGTTCACAAGAGTGGGAGGGACGGAAAACCCGAAAACACAATGCCTTTAGCCACGGCTATCACTGGCCTGGAGGCAAATGTGTGTGTTTCCTTGGATAGCGGAGGAGTGGCCCACCCTAACATTTACATCCTAACCCAACAAATTCCACTCCTCTTGCCTAAACCTAACCAATCCAACCAACAAAGGCAACAAGTACTGGCCAATCATTGGGAGAATAGAGCAATTAATGTCTTTGCTATACTTGGATTTACAAATTTATGGTATACGTCATAAAAACTGCAAATATCTACCAAGCAGTCAATGGTGTAAATTCAAATTATCTTTTACCATTTGCATCATGTTAGAGCCACACAAAGATAATATTGCACAATATTATCATTTATCATTATTTGTGCAGCTTATTTTGAGCTTTCCTCGTCTCTTATATGTTTTTTGTTTTATTTTTCTATATTTTATTACCTACTCTACGTGCCTACGTGCTGCCTGGGGACAAATTGTTTCAAACTGAATTGAAAAGTGGCATTAACCGATACATGAGGTATGTTATTTCATTGGCTACTGGGTTTTTTTTAAATAAAATGTGATGTGGCCTGTTAGCAGCAGTGAATGCTGCAGTGTCCTCCTGGTTTCTGGCTTCTTTTTGTAGCCTCATTCTAAAACTGCAATAAGTGACAATACCACCAGTGACAGTGTGTATTTTTCGTATCCATTGTCTTTATTCACTGGTGTATATTTTTGTATTTGGCTGCTGCCTTTTAACCAAATCGACCTTCTGAAACATTGAAGGTTTACTCTACTCTCTACTCTACGTCTGTGGGATCACGTAAATACCTTTGAGGATGTAACTGACTTTGTTTATTTTCCCCTGAAGTTTGCATAAGGAAACACTATGTCACCTGCAATGAATGAAAATGATGCTGGAGGTCTCCAAACTCCCCCCCAAAAAATTTGTTACTGCAGAAGTATTCTCACCTGATCTCGTCATCTCCATCAGGACCGCAGGTGCCCACCACAGCTGTCTCACCAGTGGGCACCGTGGCCTTCGAGTCATCTTTCAGCAAACCACTTCTTTCCTCCGCACTGCCACAGGGACTCTCAGCGCGACAGCAACTGTTCCCCATCTGCTCGCTCCCTCTGCTTGGGAGGTCAGACGGGTTGTAGGCTGAAGGGCGACCTCTGCTCCAAAACAAACGCAAGCGACCAGACGAGTCGCTGAAGCCCGAAGACTTCAGGAGTCCATGATGATGAAGGTCAAGCTGCTGCTAAAGCCAGGTAGCAACCATGTCTATGTCTTGTTACTGGGTTGATACCTAGAAGCACAATGTGCAACATCACCACATGAATGAATGAAAACACTCCTCACTGTGTGTCACAACAGGCAGTAGTGGAATGTAACTAAGTACATTTAGTCAAGCACTGTACTTAAGTACAACTTTGAGGTACTTGTACTTTACTTTAGTATTTCTATTTTATGCTACTCCACTACATCTCAGAGGCAAATACTTGTGTTCCTTTAAGGGTTAAGAAAATCATCTTACTTCTTAAGCTAAGTAAACTCTTTAAAAACCCTCTTGGATCAGCTGGAAAATGCACCGTCACAAAGCTGAAAAGGTGTCTGTTTTTCTGACACCATGAACAGCAGATTTTTTAAAGAGGCATGGTTCTCACAGGACAGTCACGCTACAAACACATGAGGATCCTATAGAGTACGATGCATTGCTGTAAATTAAACTACCCGCACATATATAAAGGAGTTAAAATTTGCAGAACCTTGCACATGTGGATCAGTAAAATTCAACATACACATTGACGCAGCAGCAATATTAATAAAAACCATTATCTATAATACTAGAACACAAACAGGGAACATTTTACTGCAAAAAGCTTCTGTGTTAGTTGTCCGTACCCTATGTGAGCCACCTTTTAATGTGACCATCCCAACTCCCACCTATGTATTAATGTTACTGTTTTAACAGTATCCTGTTATGTCACACCTGTCAGGTGCATGTATTACCTTTGAGCATGGAGAGGTGCTCACTAACACAGATACCAACAAATTTGAGCCCAAAATTTAAGAGAAATATATCTATTGAGTGCATTAAAAGAGTTATAGGTCTTTTGCTTTAACCTGTGAAAATAGGAGCAAAAATTAAAGTGGTGCGTTTGATTTTTTAACCACTATAAATGCTTAACACTAAGGGGACACAATTCATGGTAACACCTGTCGACATACAGTATGTGGTTATAGTATAAAGCACGTTTGCAGTGACATTATAACTGAATTTATAAACCGGGTCACAGTATTTGGTGTGACACCTGCTGCCATGTTTTTACAGTAACGTCATACATTTAGTGTCAAAATGGCTCAAATCCCTGCTACACCCCATTGTTAATTTAAATACAATAGAGGGAAACACCGACAATGACAGCACACACCGCAACGCACATTCAGCTGTCACTCCCATATTAGTAACGACACAGAAACATACCTCGGTCGAGTTCAGCTAGAGAAACACTCCGCAGGCTCGAGACCATGTAGCTCCGAATCCTGTTTCACTTTTGGTTAGCTGGAAAACAAGCTTAAGTTAGCTAGCAAGCTAGCTTAGGTAAACTTAAAATATAAACACGCGCTACTAAATACGGACCGCCGCTCTTGTGAGTCACTGCCGCCACGCTGGTTACCTTCTATACTCACTACACCGTTACCGTTCAGCGCGTTACACTTCATAAATAACGGGTATTTGCTGGGTTTTATGCGGAACATCTGTTGGTACGGACCCCTAGCATAGCCGGAGCAGCAGGTCACGGCTCGGTCCGAACGCATGACGTCATACTCATGTGCGCCGGGAGTTTTGCTGCGTTCACGTGCTCCTCAGAAACTCGTAACTTCACATTAACTCCTGCTTTTTTTGACGTATAGAAAGAAAATTAATAAGGTGGGTTGATCAAGTTTTCGAAAAGATCACTTAAAATTATTCGATTATGTAAACTAAATCAAGAGGCACAGTTTACAGCTTGGCAAATGTGACGACGCTGCTTTGCTTTACTTTGTATGGCCTTTGTGTTAAATATCCTTGGGCATGGGAACGTTTGTCAGACAAAACCAGGAACTTGAAGGCATCACCTGTTCCTCTGGCTCCGAGAATTACACACAGTTATCTGTTAAAGACTGAACAATAACTTCAACTTTATTATTATCCCGAAGTAATTTTGCTCTACAGCAGGCATCAAGACACAAAACTACATACAGGACAATATCATAAATAAATGTAAAATTCCCCAGCTCAAGTGAAAACTAAGTTAACTGATTAATTAGTTAATTTAAAATGTAAATATTAATTAGTAAATAATTAATTGATAATAGAAATAGTCAGTTGAAGCCCTACAAGATGTGAATATAGTACATTATTGGCTAGAAAGTTTTGGGGGATTTTTAGTCCTGTTTTGTGGTTTGAAGTTGTCATTTATTTGTTAAGAAAATGCTATGTCTTACAGTATATTTTGCACAGTGTCTACATCGTCATGATTAAATGACAACATATATGAGACAATAATAAGAGATTAGAGAGACTTTATTTTCATCCATCCGCAGATAGTGGAACAAAATTGTGTTTCCCTGGTCCCTGGTGCAAAACAAAATAAACAAACATAAACAAGCAAAAACAGAACAAGATACAAGATGAGGTACACACATATAGTGCAATAACAAACAGTTGAAATGTAATAATAGAAAACATTAACAATTAAACAAACAATATAAAACTCATTTAATATCTGAGGTATTATTAGTGAGGGAATAAAGTTGGCCATATTCTCCAGTTGTGGGAAAAGAAACAAGTAAACAAATAAACTAACTTAAGCTGTCTGAAAAATTAGGATTTTAGTTTAAATGTTTTGTATGATAATAAATTATTTATTGATGCTCTGTGTTGTGGTAGGTTTTGTATCTGAAGCTTAACCCTCTCAATGTGTTTTCATGTTAAACTTTGCAAATCTGATCATAGCAAAATATTTAATTTAGATATTTTTTTATTACTGCCACTCAACATAGTTGGTGGTAATTGTTTTGGTGCAGCATGGTTGCTCAGCTCCAATGCAAATCTACCTTGTGGTTTTCTCTGGCACTGGCAATACTTTCATATGCCTTTAAAGAAGGATGAATGTTTTGCAAAGGGGCAAAATATATAGATATTAAAACAAATTAATGGGAATTTCTATTGCAAAAAAAAAGGCCAATAAAAAATAAGGGGTGACAAAAATATTCTTCTCTCTTTTCATGGGGAAACAAAATGGGTGTAAGAACAGAAATGCAGTGAAAATAGCAAATCCATTTTTATTTTCAAACACTCTTGAACCATTTTATACAAATCATAACTGCAAAACTATATTTTACATTATTTACATCAAAAGCACTTCATTTCCCTGTAAGGAATTTACAGTAAAACCTGTTTTAATTCATAGTTCATGTGTCCGTCCAAGTATCGTCCAGCACCACTGCGATGCTAATTTTCAGTCACTACAAATTCTTCAGCTCCTGTATGTGACTGATCAGCTCCTGCGGCAGTCTGAGCTCTGACACTAGATCCATGCAGTGCTGCACAAGGTCGTTCATGTTTGAGTTGGAGGAGCAGTCAGTGGAACCAGAGCGGAGCTTTTGTTGCTGGTGAGGAACGTCCACATCCATATTTTCTCCTTTCCTGCAGCAGTCTGTTTCTTTACACCCCTGTCCTCCACAGCAGTCTGGACCCGCCTGCTCTACCTGCAGCTCCTCCATGCTCTCAGACACACTGCTCACACTGGGAGGAGGATTCTCCAAAGCCCTCCTGATGCCCTCTTTGATTGTGTCCTCATGCTGTGAAACCCGCTGCAGGAGGTCAGTCAGCGAGGCTGGGAAGGGGCTTCCCGGATGTTGGATCTGGCACCAGCACAATATAGCACTGTGACGCAAGACACAAAGAGGCAACAGTGTCAGAAACAATGGCACAGAGAAGTGACTGGGACAGGAATCAGCTGGACAGAAAAGAGTCTCCAATAATGAGCAGAACAAAAGAGGCTCACGATGTTTCTGTGCAAAAAAAGAGACTGAAAGAGTTTTTTAAAAGAGTGTTTTTTTTAAAGAAGTGAATAAAAATTGAGAGGCAGGGAAAAAGAGATAAGAATAACATAATGCTCTTTTACAATATATATGATTATGAGCAAAATCACAATATGCTGTGGTTGATGTTTACTAACTGGACAACCACAACAACAAAATCCTGCAGCATAATTTTTAATATTTAAAAAGTGACACAAACACATCAAACAATATACTGAACTGCTCAGCCCTACTACACAGTTTTCAGTTTCTCTCCTCATCCATTATAAAAGGCTTTACAGAGGGGTGCTAACACCTGCCATTAAACATATATTCAATGCAAGTACATCAACCATCATTTCTGTCCCTATTGTTAGAAGCAGGAGTCAAACATTTTTTTTAATCAGCAGACATGAAACCATATTAATATTATATTGTGAGATGTTTGGGATTTTACTTATTGAAATATTGTGACATTGCCTAAATAAAATTTCCTGAACTCACTACACCTTTCTAGCTGAATGGGGCTGTGTTTCAAACCTCAGTGTTTTTATACATGGCACTAAGTGTAAAGTACAGAAGCGTAATGCAGTCATGTTTCTCTGAATGAACAAGATTACTATCTCGAGTTCAGATAAACAAGATCAGATTTTTTTCTTGTTAAAACTTTTCTCAGATTTCTGAGATAATAATCTCGTTAATTCAGAAAAACAGAGCCAACAGATTTTTTTCTCAAGTGAATGCATTATGGAAAGTGTCCAAAGCACAGAGGATTAAATGCTGTCCACCACCCTTTATTGAGATTAAATGTTTGTTCAAATTCATCCTCTTTTTTTAACTTATTCATTATTCATTAGATTTGTTTTAATCTGACATTTAACTTCAAAGATGTTAAGCTCATTTCCTAAAGTGGAAAAAGGTGTTTGTAGAAAAACATGTCTGTAATCTTTAAAGTAGTACACTGAAGAAAGTTTAATTGTGGTGTAGACAGAAACTTAGGTATTATAACACTAGTATCAAAAACTATCAAGTTATACCTGGCACACATAATGAGAAAATATTTTATTATCAGTGATTTGCGATCTTATTTAAAACCTTGGTGATTTTATCACTCAGCCCTAGTTTAATTGGAATCAAAAGCACATGGCCATACAGAAAATACTGTCAGTGAGACTTGACTTTTCACCCAAAATTAAGATTGACAATAATCACTCTGTGGCAACAACATATATCACTTTACTGTTCAAAAATGGTTAATATAATACAGTCTATCTGCTCAGATGGAGGTTACTTAAACCAGTGGTTCCCAACATGTTTGGCTCATGACCACTTTGAAATGAAGCAGTGTGTCTCTGTGACCTCTTTTTAAAGACCATGGGGCAGCTTCACCAAACTCTGACTGACTCATGTTAAGGACGGTTTATAAGGGACAATCAAATGCAGATATCCAGTGTTTTACAAGAAAAACAAATAAATAAACTTAACATGATTTTGTGTAATATATGTCATGTCTTATACCTTTAATCAAATTGGCACTTCATGGTTTTATCCACTGTCCTGAATCCAACATTAGTATGAGGATATATCATATGTGGGATACATGATGTAATGGTTTACCTTACAATCCCTTTGAGTCGACCCACAGCTACAGTCTGAGCCGCTCCTTCCCTGAACCCGAGGTTAAACCCGACCTGCAGCGAGGCCTCCTCTCCGGCATCAACTCCGTCCACATACCCGTCCTGTCCGTAACATCCGTGAGGAGAGAGGAGACTCACATTAACATGCTGAACTCAGCTTCATAACTCTGTTACACACAACTAGTTACTGGAATACAAACATGAGGCAGCAGACTGAAAGTTACTACGACATTATAAACACACAGATAAATATTCGTAATAAAAGAGAGCGAATACATCACATTTAAAGGATAGTTATGGAGGTACGTTATGCTAACGCTACATTAGCTTTACCCTGATTCGCTTCTTCATGTTGGAGGTCCACTCTCTACTTTGCAGACTGAGTTCGTCCCCATCCTCGTCAAACACATCTACGCTACCCGACACAGCTTTGACCCAAGACATGGTGAGTTTAAAATTAATCCTATGTCTAAAAACACTGTTGATATCTGAACAACACTGACACGCAGCAGCCAACTTTGTTGCCTCAGCAGCAACTTCTAGCTAAACTACGTCATCATCCCGCGCCCGAAACAGGAAATCCACCATAAAACAGAATTCTTCGATGGTCCATAACAAAAAAAAAAACGTTACAGCTAATTAATTTTCTTAAACCTGAGTGGAAACTTCACCTTAATAGTTTTTTAATTTTAGGTTTTAATTTAATATTATTCATTTATTTATTTCCATTGTAGGCTATGTTTGTGTTTCTTGACTTTTGCATTGTCTTTGTATCCTCTCTTACTATGTTTTAAAGTAGTTTATTTTCATTTATTTTCTTACAACTAAATAAAGAACACAAAATACACAAAATATCCTTTCCACATAAACTCAACTGGAAAAAATATCTTATGTTTATTGTTAGGCACCAAGGTAAATTACCTGAATATGAAAATCTGTTTGCCAACAAATCTGACTGAGTTTTTTGTTTGTTTGTTTTTTGCTCCCATATCAAAATGTTTTGATTTGAAACTCACAAATGGATCTCTTGCTTGATAACATGAATTTGAATGATATCCAACAACACAAAGCCACTTCAACTGATCTGACTTTAATTGTGGATAAATAGCACATCCATTGCTGCAAATAGAAGGGTTTTCATGTTTCTTTCTTTCTTTCTTTCTTTCTTTTTAAAAATGCATTTTATCAGCATTTTCAAAATCCCTGAGAAATGTCAGTTAAAGACACATAAATAAAAAATAAATTAATTGCCTATTCCATAAGTTGCTATTTTGCAAGTGTCCACTGAATGACACAATTTAAATATGTAAATTATATGTTTGTTTAATTTAATTTTAATGTGTTTTATGTTTACGCTATTTTTTAGTCTTGTTTCATCTTTTTTCACTAGAATTATTGAAGCTTGCAAAAATAAAAGTTTTGCATTTAGGGTGCACCCTTCTTCTGTGGTGTTTATGGCCACACTGTGAAGTCGTGGTGCTCACTGACATCTAGCGTCGTTACACATCAGATAATTAAAATCATGCTAAATCCTGCAGGGGGCGCTACTGCCTCACTGTAAAATTGAGTGTGGCTATACAGACAGCCGAGAAGACTTCTAAACATCAAACATCCTGAGGCATCAGCTGTGTTTACAGAGGACGGGAGAACAATTTAACCACCTGAACATTTACAGCTCATCATCATCAACATCATCGTCATCATCTTCCTGTTTATCTAATTCTTTTCTGCACTTACTCAACACCCTGATTTTGTCTCCTTACATCTTTTATTTTTCTCTTAGGGTTCATATTTATCATCCCAACAACACTGTCACTGTTTGACATTGTTTGTGTTGTCTTTAATTAAATAAAGGCACAAACAATTAATACAGTAAAAACACAGAAGACATTATTTTCATTTTAACTGTGCATACACTGTAAACGTTTATTTTAATTGTGTTCCCCATCAAAAAAAAAAGTCAAAACAGGTGTCAGGTAAAAGATGGAAAATGTGTCATTGTTGTTTAACAATAATGTAACTGTTTATTTATTTATTCATTTATTACGCTATCAGATAAATTGAAAGATTTAACTTGGGCTCCACAAAATGCCTGAAATTAAATATCTAAAATAAAATAATGCATCGTCTCAAAGCTTTTACAGTGCTGTTTTATTTGTTTCTCATTTCATTATTGACAGTTTGCATCTCAAAACAGCAGCATTAAGACAGTTAAAATCAAATCACAAATTACTTAATTTAAATGTGTCTGTGAAATAAAATAAAAAGGACACAGTTTTGTATTTATATTATGAAGACATATCTGTGGTTTTAAACAATGAATCAAAATTGATAAGTTCCACATGAGGAAAATGATGCACAGAAGGTCATATTTTATATACATCCAGCTGATAAGCAAAACATGCAATTTAACAAAACTGACAAACAAATGCAAGTTTGATGTTTTGGTCAGAAACATGTTGTCGAGGTGTCACATGTCGAGAAATCATGTCTGCTGTTGTTGTTGTTTTCTTCTTCCATGAAACACTTAGTGCAGCCTGAACACTCCGGCTGTTCAAATCACTGTCCACTGCATCTTTACAGCTTCCTGTTTAAGTTTTCAAACAAGAAAATGTCATCCGTCATGACAAACACATTATTCGCTCATCAATAATGCATCTCACCTTCCTCTTTTCTCTCCTCACTGTTGAGTAGAGAGTTGTTTTATTTTCAGATTTTCTTAATGCTTCATGGAAAACACAGGAGAGAGCGTGGACACGTGCCTCTCAGCTTTGGTGGAAGACATTTGCAGCCGCCGGACAACAATGGCCTTGAGAATACTCGGAGGCCACGGTGGAGTTGTCTCCTGCTCTGGAAATGGAGGCCTCATTCGCAGCAGCCACACCTTCAGTCCCCCCCGCTCAAAGAGTCGAAACAACAAACCGGGGCAATCACCTGACACATTTCCATCCAATTTCCACTGCAGAATGTGTTCATTTTCAGGCTAATGGCATGTCATTTTGCTGGAGCCTTTGGTCAAGAATTAATCCTGGAATCAAAACAGATTTTCCGGGGAGCAATCTTCCATCAAGTATTGATTTTTTTACACTCACGGAGCCTGTACTCCCTAATTTAACCTGACAGCCAGCAGCACAATGGACTGGGAGCACCTTGGCATCTCACAGAGGGAGCTCTCCTCCTCCTCCTCCTCTCCATGAAGTGAAAGAGAGATTGAGAAGGAGAGAAAAAAGGGACTCCCTGATGTATAAAACAAAGAGCATTGCTTACAGAAAACACAGAGATAAAGCTTCCGTCTCACTGTTTTACCTCTAATTATGTTTTCTAGTATAGTGCAACTTGGGCAGGTAAGGCTGAGAGGGAAAAGGGGAGAGTGTTCTGGGGCCATCAGCTATCATTATGTGCCTGTTGACATCTCCCTGTCTTTGAGTGATTCTCATCTGTGATTTCCCCTGGCCATTTTCCGCAGATGCACGAAGAGGGGTTTCATCATGGCCCCCATAAAAAGGGCCCAAAGTGTCCGCACAGACCCCCACTAATAAGAAAGCAAAGATGTGGCCGACCATGTCACTCCTCTCCCATCCATATCTGCTCTCTCGATGCCTTCAGATATGCAATCATTCTCTTTCCTAGCCCCCCTCCTCTGTCTCTTTTCTCTGTGTGCTGTAAGTATACTATACCGTACGTATAGAGGTCAGCAGGATGAGAGGATGATGGAGGGCAGGCCCAGTTATTTTCCTCGAGCTCTTAAAGCTGCGATGACCCATGAGCAGGAGAGTTGCACTTTGCCAAAGGGTTTTCCATGCACTGCTTACAAACTACCTGACAGGAGGGGAAACAATTTCACTTTTCATCTGCTGCTTTTAACTCATAATCGTCCATTTCAGGCAGAATGGTGGTGTGAAGTTTCTATTTGGTCATGTAGCACATTATTACACATCAGCAGGGCCGTAACCAAGGAGAGCTTTAGAGAGGGCGGACCTCTGAGGACAGACACATAAACCCTGCAACCACCATCACCCGCCCCCTGCATCAGTCCTGGTCGTTCTGCATCTTTTTCTGTGATATTTTTGTAGGTTAACCGCAAGCAGTAACCTTGGGGGCTGAAAAATGAAGCCAATGCAGCAAGTGCCAAAACTGCAGTTCCTCTAATGGCCGCTTAAGGCTGGCTCCAAAACAAAGTCAGTCCTCATAGACCCCCATTTTAAAATGCCCAGCTTTACAGCAGGAATAAACATGTTTAGAGCTTGGTACAAAAATAAAAAAATATCTTGAACCAATTGTCCCCTTCATGACAACTGTATGGGCATGAATGTTTGTATAACTCTACTTAAGTTATGCATAATTAAGGGCACAAACACTTTGAATGGCAGGTGGATGCCGTCTGTTGACAAGTTGCTACCACAGCGACAAAGTTGGTTTGGTGATGTAATCATGGTGTAACCCCAGTCAGTTCATTTTTAATGGTAATGTTTTGGTCATTTAAAAAAGTCTTGTGCACTTGGTTACACAAAAAGACCCTTTAATGCTGTGTTCACACCACAGAGTGACACAGGAACAGGCTACAGGTCATTTTCAGTGGAAAATGGTGACATAATGCTACAAACTGACATCCTACACTTGTCACTGCGAATGGGCGTAATGCGCTATTAATCAAAGTTTAGGTGGTCTCAACTTTTCTTCAGCACTCCAGTGATGCAGTGAAGCTCCAACCAATCACATGTTCTTGTTTCTAGCTTTGCTACCGTGTTATTTAGCTTGGTTAGCTAATGCTATGCTAGCTTTCTGTGTATTGCGGCATACACAGTTATGCACTGGGGTGGTGAATTGTGACATTAAAATGGAGCTCGGACATTTAACAAAAGAATAAATGTTTTTTGACCAGATAGAAAATTAAAGAGGACATTTAGCAGAGGTGGTTTGTGGCAAGGAGCAGACACAAGCTAGCCTGGTTTGAAGTACGTTAACGAGCGTTTGAGCAACACTTAAATGGCAACTCGGTGATGTAGGCTGACCAAACGTCCTCTTTTGCCTGGACATGTCCACTTTTCACATCCCGTAGGATTTTATTTATTTTTACACTACATTTTCACTGAAAGCTGACCGAATCCGACCTGAGCCTGAATACAATTTATAGCTACATTTTTGACCAAACCCGACCCGACCTGTTGGGTACCGTCGGGCTCGGATCGCCACACTCTAGTGTGTGTATGTGTCCCCTATTGGGGCCTATCTGAATTTCTGTTTTTGAGAGATATTATTTTGTAATATAACTGAATTTTCTATCCATACATATAAATTTTAAATATATTAAAATGATAAGGCATCTTTGAGTAAACTGCGAGTATCATTTAAGTAGGCTATCTCGTGGTCAGCCGAGTGTCCTCTTTTTTGGAAATCAAAATATGGTCACCCTAGATAATGTAGCTGGTAACGCTGTTGCGTTGTTGCTCATAGTGTGAACACAGCATAAGGAGTGGGACGTTCAGTTTTTCTGGTGAGTACATTTTGTTTTAATACATGTAATTTGCTGGCAAAAATTTGTGTTAG